AATTCCTTCAGCTAATAAATCTTTTTGCGGATGAATAGTTAAGGCCTGGTTGGGAGATGGAATTTGGGATTGCATACCTACATTTGTCTGAGTAAAAGTATTTACTCCAACTTGACGTTCGACCCAGCATTTTTTAAGATCTTGAAAGAAATCATTTACAGTTGGATTTACACCTCCTCCTGCTCTTATAGCCATATACATTTTTACATTACTACGAAGATCTGGAGGTAAATGGGTATATAATGCTGGTAATACTTGATTATCTGCAAAACCTACTATATGTTTTCGTACTCTAGCTTCATAACTGTCTGGGGAATCTGTTGTGTTGAACCTTTCTTGTATAAGTGATTGTAAAGCTATTTCCTCATTTCCAGCTGTTACTTCACGATATTTATGCCGAAGCCAAACAGTAAATGTTGCAGGTGTATTAATAGCAGGATTAGTAGCTGTATAAGGATCATTTACTGGTACTGGAGAAAATTTATCTCCCATCTTAGATTTTAAAATATCACATTTCTCAGCATTAACAAAAGTATTTGCATTAGCAATATTAGCGGCCGTGATTACAGCCCCGGCAGATTCAAAAACATTTGTAACTTTTTGAATGTATTCATCTGGAGTATATTGTCCTGTATATTGAGGAATTTGCCCGAGAGCTGGGGCTAACATTTGATATATTTCATGTACGGCAGCCATTCTTCTTGGAGGATTTATTTGTAAATTCAAAATAATTTGCCTCGAATTTATTTCTCGAGCTTTCCATTTTTGATATCGGTTAAATACCCAGGCCTGGTTAAATTCTGCCAAATCAGCCTCAGCTTTACGTCTTCGATTTATTAGTTGAAGGGCAACCTTTTCTTGTAATAATATATGGTTTCGCCTTTCTACTCTTTGAGTTCTAAGCCACCATACTTGTCGTTCATCTGTTTCATTATTATATGCTAATGTTAATAATTGAGCTCTTCGAAGACATTCATTTCTTACATTTGCCATATCATTCATAAGGTTATTGACTTGCCCATTAGCCATATTAAGTAAACCTTGATAATGTAAGGCCTCATTTGATACCCTTTGCATATGAGTACGAATAGTTGCTAATGTTATTCGTATTCCATTCAAGGTATTTTTAGGGTCAAATGATCTATCACCATCAACATATATTTCAACACGGTCTATAGCTGTTGCAATATCTCTTAAAAGATCTGGTAATGCTATTGGCAGACTATTTATTTGGGTTAATTTTTTATTTGTAATCTCCCTAATTCGCTTCTTAAGCTGATCAACCTTATCTTCTAGCCTTAAAATATGAATATCTTGAGCAGTGCTGGCATCACCTTTATGTTTTAAATCCTGTAATGCTTTGTGGAGACGCTGTTTTAGAGATTTTATTTCAGATTTAAGAGATTCTATTTCATCTTCGTTGGCTAATATTGTTGAATCCTGATGAGATAATGTTCTATAGCAGGTTTCTAGCTCTCTGCTAAGTGCTTTGAGTTTTTTATCCTTAAGTTTGTTTTCGAATATTTCGTCAGATAATTCTTTGCGCAACTCTTTATTAGTATCTAGAATTTCAATATAAGCTTCTTTCTCGGTTATAGACCTTTGAAAGGATGGGTTTGCAAAGTGACCTGGCCTAGTCATTTTAAATTAAAATTTTGGTCTTTTTTCGAATGAATATAAGAAAAAAAATGTTGATTCCTATTATACAAATAGATTCGAATAAAGCT